ATAAAGTTTACTCTAATTTTTACAACATCTTTGTTATTTCTTGATCTTTGTAATATATTACTCATCATAATCGCTATAAATAAACATATAAACAGATTCTATTAATAGAATTTCAATGTGTTTATGTTTTGCGCAGTAGATGTGCTACAGATATTTAAGAAGCCAATCATTTACAAAAATATCTGCTTTTCTTTCATGATACCAATATACGCGAATATAATTAAGGAGAAAATTTGAAGTTTCAAACCTTAATCCTGGATCTGAATTTTGATTTCATGAAAGGGAGGGCCTCTTTCCTGTACCTCTGTAGTTTCCTGGGTTGTTGTCACATTTCTAATCAGAAATATTTTACGTATATCACAATGAAAACGCCAAGATACTTAAACAATCTACATTCACATGATATATTTATTTATGACTGATTTAATAGCGATAAATTGAAGATAAACGCGTATATATATTAACTTATCTTTGGCTGATTACACGTAAATTCGTGCAGATCTTAACGTAAAGAGTATAGAATAAATGATCAAATTATTATCCACGAGCGATAACGTGAGCAAGGTTGAAACAAATGTAAAAATTTATCTTATTATTCTCTGAAATTATCGATTGCTTATTTGAGATGCTCCACAACTTGGTAATAATAAATCCTGTGATTAAAGTCAACGCACTTAATTTAGAACAATAGAATACCGATTGTGGCCGATTTTCTTTTTAAAAATGAACATTTGTGTATGTTTCGAAAATTCGGGTTGATACCTTATATTAACCATAAAGTCATTTTTGTCTTAAGATCCATATGTGTATTAGAATCACCTTTGACTATCCATTTGCCTGCACCGTAATACAATGTAGATAAAGCAACTTATTCAATACAATGTAAAAAATGTAAAAGAACAACTCAAATATAACATATATAATAGTAGTCATGGATTATGAAACGCATGAATGGAGAAACATTTGTATCTCAGACTCCTTGCATAGAGAATATTCCTCTTCAAGTCCAATTATCTTATTAGTTGGTGGATCGGCAATTTGTCAATTTTTCTATAAAGAACGAGATTTGGTTTGTTGAAAGTTCTACTACCACGCGTTCAACAGAATTCTCGTGATTGTTTTGTTTTTTTTTTAAAAATACTTTCATACTTGCGCTTAAATCTAAAATTAATTTTTGGTATTACCATTGGTAATGCACAAACGATAATGGGAGTGACTAATTTGGTGTAATTACATATGAAATCGTCGAATAGCTTATCTAAAATAACCTTTCTATTAATAACTTGTACCTTGATTGTTACATCAAACAGATCGATAATGAGAAAGTAATCAATCGGTTTATTTCAAATAAAATGGGGTGGGTGTTTTGTAAGCATGGCATGGCATGGCATGGCGATGTGATTGTTCTATCGAAAGTCGACTCGAAAATTTGTGGTGATTGTACTTAAGATTGTGACTGTGACAGAAATCGAAACTTGCAAGTTGTCATCGAAAATTCACGAAAAATATTTTTATCGATTATACGTGCTGTCAACATTTAATATTAAAAGCGAATCGATTGTTCATGTTTGGTTATATGAAATATTAATTACCGTTTCATTATCCTTTTTTATAATTGATTTTACTGCATTAGCAAAACATATTAAAATAAAGATGCAAAGTTTGTTATTATTATTTTTTTAAAAAAAAATCTTATAATTATCCGATACATATTTTCCCAATCGTAAGGATAGTATTGCGTCGCGCCACGATAATCAATGGTTCATTAAGGCTACGTAGTTTACTGTAATGTGCATTGTGAAATGCCAAGCAAAACCGCCGCCTCTTTTGATCGTTACACATGTTTTTTCCAAAGATGTTACTTCCCGAAAAATTCTGAAAAAATTATATTACATTTAATATAAATATGTATTATAATATGCACGGGATCCAAACAATACAATATTGATAATTAAATCTATTAATTTTCTATTTATTTGTGGTAATTATTTTATATTGCCTGATTATTGATGGTAAAGAATTTTAAATTATTATTATTATCCTCTTTAAAAATTATATCAAAAAAAAATAAATAAATAAAAAATTCATTATTCACGAGTCAACTCAACTCCAAAGAAAAACAGAAAAAAAATCTCGACAAACAATATAAATATCTCTGGTAGAAATGTCCAAGAATATCATATCAGATCTTAATTGAAAACACATGTGCTTTATATTTAGTTTGAAAAAATTGTATTAAAAAATATGAAGATTATCATAAAAAATTGATTTTATAAATTAATATAAAAGCTTATTGAATAAAAATGTAACAATTTGGGTACTGATCTACCACGTGACACTGGATACATGTCATGATCGCCGAACTGCCGATCACTTAAAGCCGCACCATATGGGTTTCGCAAGGGTAAATCATATTATTAATCGCAT